ACTGGGATGGTGGACCATGAAAGCATCCTCCTGAGTGTGTTCAATCCCATTCAGTTGAGATGAGGGCATTGGTGTTCTGTTAATGTAGATGATGTGAACCCTCCTCCTACCATGGACCAGAAGAAAAATACCTGATGCCACATCGTTATGGACTACAAAATGCAGTTCACCCTTCTGGCTGTGACCCCTCATTCTGTCGCATCCTGAATGTTGGTTCCCAGGTGGTCTGGTGTTGGATTACAGCTTGACCAGCCAACTTAAGATCTCACACATGTGGTTAGTAGGGAGCCCTCATCCTACCATGGACTGAATGATAAATTTCCTAAGCCACCAGGTTTTTCACTTGAGCGAACCACCATGTTGCATTCCCCCTTCCCACTGTTGCCCAGATGTTGGGTTCCGAGGTAACCTGGTGTTGGTTGTGTACTGGTTCTGCACATGTACCCTGATTAGGATTGCAGAATGGAACCTGTTTTCCCTTTTGCTTCCTTGCCTTGAGGTAAAAATGGAAGGGACCCTCCTCCTACTGTGGACCAGACGATAAATATCCAAAACAGGTGGTATGAGTTGACCCACCAATTATGGTCTGATGTGCCCTAGCCACTCTACAACACTTGACTCATCCAATAGCAGGGCTAATGCTAAATGTTTTTTTAGGGAGCCAGTTGAGCCCCTAAAACATACATTTTTATGGGCCAATCCTATAGTTCATTGTAAAATGTGCTCTATAATGAAGGTTATCATAAAATTACTGAATTAAATAGCGTATTTTGTTGTGAACTCAAATTTCATGAAAAAACAACAACATAAACCATTTCATTTTTTTCAGACAACTTAAATGATTTTTATTTCACATATGATCTTTAATTTCTCTCTGAAGCATGGTATGACAGTAACTTTTTTGTTCCCCTTTAAAGTAGTGTCCTTTCCTTATCAAATTAAATAATGAGAGAAAATCTTTGCATCACTGTCAGTGTGATCTGTTTTTGTTTCCATATAACACATTACCATCTAGCTGACACATTATTTGTCAATGAAATGTCAATCACTTTTAATGTAGAGTTGGTAAAATTATACAATTTACATTACCACTAACTTTATAGCAATCAGTTCTTTCATATCCCGAAACAACTGTTAATTAGTCATTCATGAATTTGAATTTGTAACAAGCAAAATCCTCAAATTAGCAACATAGGGAAAACATGCAAATAGCTCTAAAATGGCCCAGGTGGTAATGAGTTAAACTTAAGTTAGTGTCCTTTCCTATTCAAAATAAATAATGAAAGGAAATCTAGTATGCATCGGTGTCATTCTCCAATGATGTTCCAACATTCGTTTCTTGGATTTTTCCTTTGTTTCCTTCTTCGTCACTCTCCTGCACCTGCTTTTCAATCTGGACCCTGCCTGAATTTGGTCTCCTTGTGCAAAGTGATCCTGAGTTCCAAAGATGGATAGCTGTTATGGGATCAAAGTCACTCATTTAAGGCGAGTGGAGCATGACCAGAAGCTGATCAGTGATCCTGTCAGCTCCCAGAGAGGATCTCAAATTGGGCTTGATCATCTTCATCTTGCTGAATCCTTTTTCTTTCTCAGAGGAGTTGGCTGGAACTGACAACAGTAGGTCAGAGGCCACAGATATTAGGTAGCTCCTCCTTAATCCCAGGGATCAGGGATGATAGCAGTCTATGGCTGGCCTTTCTTGGTATGCCTAATGAATTTAAGTAACAAAATAGATGTGGAAAATGTATCGGAGAGACCATCATGAGAATTTCATTATTATTTTATATTTGGCAGTGTTTTGCCTATAAGTATAATCGGAATCGTTAGAATTTGTCGAATTTCCCAATCACGGTAAACCAATTGCCGAGAAATTAAAAATAACACCACCCAGATCACTTTATTCACAACAATCCTCTGACTTCTAAGTATTCTTACAATCATGACCCTGTACAGTTTCTTTTTTTTTATACAAAACATTATTCACCATATAATAAAATATCATTAGTTAAACAATCTCTGCCTGTTTCTCATTTATTTACATAAGTTGATATACTGAATGAAAGAAAGATTAAAAAACAACGATCTGCATATTGTGAAGCACACTATTTCCTTACGGACCATACATTAGCAAACAGTCAATAACAGTAATCTATGCACAGAGTTAATACCCACTGTGCTTACCAAAGATCTGTACAAACTTTTCCCGTGAAGTTCTTGGAATGGTATGTCATGTGGCTCCCCGCTAGTACTGCAATGTGTATTAGCCTATAGTTTGGGGAGGTTGCCGAAGAGAGCATGACAAAAAAGCTATTGGAAATTTGAAATGTCCCATTATTTTCTAATAGGGGGTTTTGTCAATTGTTTGAATTGCATGTCATTGTCGGAGATATCACTATAAGTTGAAAGTGGTAAACAGGTATATACAAATACTTACAAAATTATCAAAACAACGAACCTATTGGACAGCTATGGAACATTCCATTTGATCATTTGACAGTCCTGTTATTTATGAATATGCATGGTTCCAAGAAGTTACCTTAAAGCTAGTTATGGCTCGACAAACATGATTCCTGATTGGTTAGATTACTTCTGAATGAGAAAAACTACGTTTTTTGAGTAGGAAGTGAATGGTTGAAAAACAAGAATCACAAAGGTGGGCAAATGTCATAACTGATTGCATCTGCAACTAACAGGAGAATGTACACATCTTTATCGACAGTAAAAGCTAATATTTTGTGATTTTAGACAATTGTCAAAGTGGCACAGTGTAAGTGCTGAGATTTGAAAAACATTCGATGAAAGCATGTGTGTCAAGCTGGGAGGTGATAAGTTTTAAATAATTCAACTAGCATGATGTAGGTCATAATGTATTTAAAGTTTTCATTTCTGTTTCTTTTTGCAAGGTTGGAAAGTTGATCATTAAGTATGCAATACAGATATAATTAGGAGCATTGTTTAATAAGGCCAATTAAAAGAAATCTTTCAGTAACCAAATTGAAGATTCTTCTCTTTACAAACAAAACCTTCAAATGCTATCACTTTATTTGACCTTTGGTTGGAATACTTCATTGGGTTTAGAAAGTGGTTTAGTTCAAAATGTGTAGAGGTATAGCAAAAGACATCAAACTTATGGCTGAAATGAACAATGAATTTAGGCAATGATCCTCAACTATTTGTTTGTCTCACACAACGGTCACATAAAATTACGTATTGATCATGTACTATCCATTTTTATTTTGCACTCATTGAAATAAAAATCAGACATTGTGATTTTATTTCATGACACATTTATTGACAACTTCAACCATTTCAAATTTAATGATGCTTCAAAGTACATTCTCTATAGTCATTACAATTTTTAAGGTTGAACTGTCAATAATACTTCACAATGACATCATCAATTTTACTGTACATAATCAGGTTTGGCAATTGAATCGGGCTGATTGTGCACCATCATAGTCATCAGTCGGTGACTTCAGATTGTGACATCATTGGTAAACCGGTAATGTTGTTGTTGTTTTTTCGTTTTTCACTAGTGCAGTCTAAAAAGTTGGATTCAAAAGTGTTTGCCCTAACATGCATACATTTTCAACAATGTACATGCAGTAAGGTAGATTCTCCAAACAACTTACAAATTTGCAATTTTTATTTGCCTGTTTTTGGAAAGTGTTGACAAAAAATAACTTGTATGTACATCTTTCAAATGTGTGAGCCTTGATGCAGGCTTGGTGTCATATATAAAAGTAAAAAAAAAGTAGCATTCTGATTTAAAACAGTGGTCATCTTTATAAAAGTTCAAATAATCACTATATTTCAGATTTTATTAATGGAATTTTATACATCAATTTCATTACACTGATACAAAAAAGTTTAAATACTGGACAGAGTGATGGCATTCTTATTAATGAAGGTGCATTTACTTGGAATACATGGGCATTCATAGTGATGATGTTTATGAATTGTACATGACTGATGAGGCCGTGGTGTAGCCAGCATCAAATGTATGTGAATGCATACATGCAAATTCGTTATAATCAGTGATATATTGAAATAAAATTTGAGTGAACAAATGGGAAGACATCACTTTTATATTTTTTTATATTTTATGTTAATACATAAATTATATATTATATATCTCTAAAAAAAATTGTGAAAATGATATGGATGCTTGAGGATTTGTAATACACATTTATATATTACACTGAATACTTTGATATGGCATGTGCACTGATAGCTGGGTAATGTATGTGCAACCAGAAGACAGTACTGAAACCCTTGAACACACCTAACCAGTTAATGAGCTAAGTGGGTACAAATTGGCAAGATTTTAGAAAAGGTAAATGGTTAAATAAGTCAAGTAAGCAAAAAGTTTGTACAATGTCTGGCTCATTACAATGTACACAGAATGATCCAGGAATTGCATTGATTTTGGATGAGAATATTTGACACATTCTCTTTATGTGTTAGCAAATTATGCATATAGTAACAGCACTGAATATTTTCACATGTATTACACACATCACTAGAGAATATTTTTCTTTTGTATATTTGAGATATCATACCCACTTAAAAAATTGTTTTCCACTACAATCATTACAAGTTTTACATTATTGAAAGATCTCACATTTGATAAGTTTAGTACTATCATTACACGTTTAAGTTGCCAACACCATATCTGGGTGTGGCATACATTCTTATATAGTCGATCAGCAAAAATGTAAAATGATAAATTTCAAGCAGTTTAATTCACCTAAAATACTTGTACATCTGCAGTGAAAAGGTAAGACCCTCTGATTTAATTGTAAAATAGCACATAATAGGACTTGCATTAGTTAAGCATACATATACATGCTAATGCTTCATTGCAGTGTCATGGTTTATTCATTTAAGTCCTAAGAGTAGATCTAGTAAAAGGGCTATGAAAGGCTTTTTTAATATTTATTGGTAGGTTCATATTAAATGTTCAATTAACCAAATTTATTTATGTCATAACATTATAGGAATTACAAGACATTCGGAAGTCGGGAATGAAATCTGTCAGAGATATACAGGTTGATGAATCAAACATCCTTTTGTGGCAAGGTCTTGTAGTGCCTGTGAGTACTGTTAAACATACCACATATATTATTACCTATTTGATCATTCCTACAGTATGACTTTAATCATTGGCAATTACGTGTATTACTTTATGATTAGCTGTAACATGGAAAATATGTTTTAACTACAATATTTCTAAAATAATTCAAATTAAACTCCTGTTTTTATTAATTTTAACAATACTCCTAGTAATTACATTTACTACTATATACCCTTGGGTGAAAGGTAGTTTTTTTTCAATACTTTTTAACATTTTTTATCAGTATTGACAACATAAGTTTATAAAGTGGACAGTCTCTTAATATAAGAATATTCTTAGCACAGGATGTCTTGTGGATTTACAAATAAACAGTTAATGCAGAATTTAAAATCAGTATAAAAGGATCCATCAAGTTGAGAAAGTAGTCTGGGAGTTAAAATTATCTATCCAGATATTTCTAGGTGTTCTTGGGTTAAGGACAAAAACTCGTACTAACAGTGAGATTCCCAGTTGATTACCTGAGGCAGAATGACCATAGAGGCATTTTTATGGTTTGTCTCTTATTATTAAAAAAGAATAATTATTATTAATTGCTCTTGTAGTTTTGGAGCAGCTCTTCTGGTAGAAGTTTTAGGTTAATCATTTCTAGCTACTTCTGATTAGCTAGCCACTAACAAATATGATCCATAACTCAAAGAAAACATGAATATTTATGTCAAAGCGATACTTTCATTAGTAACTGTGTGTATGTTAAATTCTAAAAAGAATGGTAAAAACAAAGAAATGAACATAAAGTAATTCTTTAGTTTTTTACTTTAGAAAGTAGAGAAATCAGCAAATAACAAACCTGTTGTTTCCTATTTTTTATGTTGTTTTGTTTTTAATTTTATTCTACATAATGAACTAGGATAACCCACCTTATAACAAAGGAGCCTTCAGAATAGAAGTAAATTTCCCTGCAGAATATCCTTTTAAACCTCCAAAAATCACATTTCGGACCAAGATTTACCATCCAAACATTGATGAGAAGGGACAAGTTTGTTTGCCTATCATCAGTGCTGAAAATTGGAAGCCAGCTACAAAAACAGAACAAGGTGGTCTTGTTTTCTACTGTAAAAAGTTCTGACATGAATAATTAAAAGAAAATAATGATATATGGAAACTGTAGGGAAGAAATATTAAAAAATAAACTTAGCACACTAAAATAGAAGAAGAGAAAAATAAACAAAGCTGGACATCAGTAGATTAAAGAAATATAAGTGACTTAGATGTTGTTCAATTTATCTTAAACCTTGAAAATATTGTTTAAGAGAGGATTTAATAGTTATAAATGATTTATTATGAATAAATCAGTGGGCTTCATCTACCTGTGGTAGTTTGTAGATGATAGTGCTAACTAGTAATGTAAATCTTGAGTTTTTGTTGACTAGTTCTTGTTCTGTTTATTAAAAACTGAGATTGCAAATGCATGATGTTGAGGCATATTCTTATATAATTGTTGATGATAATTTTAGAAGATTTTAAGGATTGGTTTTGAATTTCATAAATTTCACTTATTCGGTCATACATTTAGCATGATTTTTTGTGTGTATTTGAAGCATGCATCATCATATTGTATTGAATTCTTGTGCGATGAGTGATATCATCTACTGTATATTATATGTAACTATACTATACTGAAACATTAATAGAAAATATTATATAAGAAATGTAGTATTCATAATTTTAATGTTCAAAGGGATTTAATAACATGAATTTCAAAATTATACATTCTGATATGATAACTCACTTCTCACACAGAAGAGCTATCTTCCATGCTCAGCAACTCCTCCTATGCACTTGTATTCATGGTGACTTCAATCTTCTCAGCATTGCATTGAAGAGGCATGATCCAAATTTCTCATCTGAGTTCAATTTGATGAGATTTACATTTGTTAATAAAATGTTGGTTTCAATATTTTTGGCTTTTGTTTGAAAAGCTTTATTTTTTATCATGAATTCTCAGATGATGGTGACTTATACTTTGTCCTGTGTGAGTAATGATATTACACGCAGGCCTTATTTCTACTATGGCTTTTTAACTGTTGGAAATGTTGTAGCCATTGTTCAGTGTGTTGTGAATTAGTACATGCTTCCTGGGCCTTCTGCTCTTATCCCATGAGCTGGAATTTTTTCTCCTCAGTCAGGAGTGATCTCTTGGACTACATATTTAACTTGATTTACTTTGGGTAGTGCCTTACCATTATATTTTTTCTTCTGTTTTTTGTCTAGATCAGTCTACCCCTAAACTTCACATTCCAGGTATCAGGACTTCCTCTTTTTTATTATCCTTCCTCTTCCATACATCTATTACATCATTCTTCTTGGCAGTGACTATCATATCGCATCTGACCCTATGAGTACCCCTCTAATCCTTTTCTCTTGTTCTTGGTCTCATTTTCTGCTAACAGTTGTTTTTCATTTCTCCACCTTGGTCTCTCTTGTTGCTTCTCTTTCCATTTTCTTCTCTCCTCTCCCAACCCAATGTATGGTCTTTTTCATGCAGTATGTGGTTGACCATGGTCACTGTGTTGGACACATCTTCTTACACATTACTCTTGACCTGTCTTCCATATGTTTTCTATATTTTGTCCATCGCTTTGGCATTTTCCAATTCCTTGCTTTTACCTTTGACATAGCATCAACTCCTCCTATATTCGTTGGTATTGTGAAGTCCTTCACTTGGGACTCTGGCTTCCCTCAAACACCTCATTCCTTGGGGCATGCACTCACATGTCTCCTCCAGTGGTTTTTGCAGATCTAATGGATTTTCTTGGGTTCCATTGGCTTCATTTGTGAACATCTCTCCTCAAGATACTGTCATGGTGACTGGATCATGCCCATACTACTTCAGGCACTCCCTTACCAACTCTTTTGCCAGATCTATCTCTTCACTGATGTTTCCATCTCTGTTTGAAGCATATCTCTGAATGAAGACATGACTTCTAGTGTTTGGACACAAGATGAGCATTCATTCCATATCAATATGCTCGAACCTCTTGCTGTTTGTTTGACATATTCTCATTCCTACCCCTACTAGTAGATCACTTGGTTATGATCCAGTCCATCATGGTAAGTTTGTCGTTTTGCTTGTCATTTGCCAGGATCTAAGAAATTGTTGATTGACCACCTTTCTCAGCCAGTCCACATTGTACTAATGGAATGATCTCTACACTCCCAGGTCTTACTTTTGGTTTGCTCTTAGTTGGACATGCCCCTCATGGATGCCTTTGCCACCCTTCTATATTCAGGGCTTCCTCTCTTCTGGTACTTTATTTCTCATCCTTTGGCTCTGGCTGTCAACATTCTTGGCCAGGCCTAGTATCATCTCTTTCTACATGCATATTCCCCTTTTTTCCTCCTTCCTTGTGTTCTCATTGTTCAGGTCCTATTGTTTAAGCCTCTTTCTCCAGTTCAGCTTTAATTTCCTCTGTTTCTTTGTTTGACATTCAGACCTCCTTCTACCCAATTTTCCTTATCTCTTGCTTCCACTTCACATATACCCCTTTTCATCAAGGAATATCTTCCCTCCACTTCATGTGGGAGATTTGTCCAATCCGTTGCCAGTCATGCCAGACTCTCTAGTCCTTTTGTAGTCTTCTCACATTCTTGTCATAATTTAACAATGTTATCTATCAATGAAAGTGGGGGTCTTTATCATTGGTCCATCCACCACTCCTTTAGTCCTGGCCATCATACTGTGAACCACCTTTCTGCCTTTTTAACTGGCTGTTCATTCATGGCATTTTGCCTTCCCCAGTACCACAAAGTGTTTCTCTCCCATCCTCTACTCTTTATTATGCTTCATTCTTCTCCAGCCTTCTCACCCATATCCCATGCCTGACTGAGACATTAGTGTGAATTTGAATGCTCTCATGCTTGCCCCATTTGAGCCATTGGCTTCTTGTTTTTATATCATATTTCTCTCCACACTTATTTCCTTCTTCTTCCAGCCTGTGATTGCCTTCATTTAGTTGTCTGTACTATAGATATTTCTTGCACTCACATCTACTGCACTTATATATCCCTCTTCATGGACCAGTCTTTTCTACTTAAGACTTCAACCATAGATAACCACACTTTCTTTCCTATCTCCTTTGATTTTGTCATTACTAGATGGGTCTGCTCACTCCTCTGGTTGGTATATTTATCTCTGTATGTGGATACTTGCAGGCTATTTCACATTTATTCACATTTGGTTCATCACCTTTCTCATTCTCTTATATCTCATCTTCACTGGCCCTAGGACAAGATCCTCCAGACAGGCATGTGGATGACTCTCCACACATTTGTTTCCTATTATGTACATCATCTAGCTGTTTTCTCTCTTGCTGGATTTCAGCTTCCATCTTTTGCCATTCTTCAGTCACCCCCATTGTCTTTTAGAGGAATACATACACTTTCTTTTTCAGAACCCCTTTTTAATTTCATAGGATCCTGCTAGGTTTCTGGTGTAGCCTTTCAGGTATCCTTGTGGTATACGTATTTACTCAGTTGTCTGATCCAGACTGTACGTATTTCATGAACTATAATGAAAAACACCAGCACCAGGTAAGTGTTCTAACAATTTCTTTGGCTTGCACATTTTGGTTTTGAAAAATATGGTTTTGCAGTCCAATAAAATACCTTTCTGGTTGGAGGTCTGATAAGGATCCAGGCACTTTTCCATGTCTCCCCAACACGAATTTGCACCACCTTGGTTAAGTGGAGCACAGGAGACCCTTGCCACTTACCAGTTCCTAACTGTTGGGTTGGTGGACCAAGGAGAATTCTCACCAGCTGGACTTAGCACAATATGGTGGGAAGTGGGGTGGTGGTGACACTGACAGCATAGTGCAGGTCACCCCTCAAAATCATAACTCATACCATTTGTGCCCTCCTACTGTAGACATAGCCTATTTATTTGAGGTGAGCACATATACAAAATTTGCTCTCCTTCTGCTGCCAGTGTCTGTTTAGTAGAATTTAGGTGAGCATGCAATTTAGGAAACAATACTTCATAACTAAAGTGCTTTCCTCCTACAGCTAGAGTCTGATCAATAGAGTCGAGGTAAGTACACATTATACGAGCCATACTACATAACTAAAGTGCTCTCCTCATGCAGCTGTAGTCTGTTTAGTACAGTTCAGGTGAGCACACAAGGTACTGTCTGAAAGCACCCCAACCACACTATACATATTGGCTCACCAACTGCTTGTGTGCAAGTGCTCGCACAGTCATGTTCGTATTCTGCCCCTCCCTGTGACATGTGGGGTTCATTTGTCTCTTCCCTCTTTACATTCCAGGCAAAAAGTCTACCCTGGTTGAGATGAAATGCAGTCTCCCATGGGTGTACCCCTATGGAGCCCTTGCCATTGGGTGTCACACTCCATGAACTTCCCATCTAGCAGTTTCTAAAGAGAGCTCATCTAGGTAAAATGTGGGATTCTAGCTTTTCTGTATGAGGAGGTGAGTCATAATCTCAGAAGTTAAACTTTTTCCTAATTTGGTGCACATTTTTTGTCTTGCCTCATTAAAGAATGAAGTCATCAATTGATGGAGGGCTTTTGTTGCATGCTGACGTCATCATGCACCAGTGCAGTTTACATTAAAACTTGAAATTAGATGGGAGTTACTTCAAGGCTAGTGGCATGCAAATATCTCAGACAGATGTGTAAGGAAGATAGCTTTTTTGTGTGAGGAGGTAAGTATCTATCAGAAATACATTTTCAGATTAGGAAAATGTTAACTTTCAGGTTGGTACTGACCCTTAAAAGGAATACTATATAATTTGACCGCATTAATATTTCTCAACAAGTTGTACTTTGGTTTAAAACACCATTTGTACTACCATTTTATTTTGAGTCTTAAGTGATTTGTTTTACTAATATGAAAATTTCTGTTTTCCTTTAAGTTATTCAAGCTCTTGTGGCACTAGTGAATGACCCTGAGCCTGAACATCCATTACGAGCAGACCTGGCAGAAGAATACACAAAAGACAAGAAAAGATTTTTCAAGAATGCTGAGGAATTCACCAAAAAGCATTCCGAAAAGAGACCCCCTGATTAATTGTCAGTTTCACTATTGTACTAGAAATCACAGTAACGTTTTTTTTTTTTTTATACATGAAAATGATTATTTTAGCACCAATTAGGTGTAAAGTTGAGAAAATTCAACATTAACTCAGTAAAAAGTGATAAATTAGAATATCAGGTATCAACATGCATATTCTTGAGTATTATTTTATTTAAGCTGCTGACTCATCCCTTAAAGATGTTTTTTGGCATGCTGTATACTTTTATTTTATTCTGATATCTTTCTAAATGATATTTGATTTTATATTGATATTGTTTTTCAGAATTAACTACAGTTAAGACATAATGGGTCAGTATAATGTGTTTGTATCAAAAAGTTCCTTATTTCTTGGTAATATATAGTTAAAAACTGAGAAATGTGTATTTATTTTTTGTTTTCTGTGTGTGTGTGTGTCAGGTCATAACAGGACTTAGAAAGCTGAGTATTCACAAATTTTTAGTGCAATTTTCACAAACAAAACTTCTAAGTAGCACTGCCATGGTACACTGGTGACTTGTATGTAAAATCTAGTCTACCTTGTCACAGCTGATTGTCATTTTAAAAGCCTCTAAGTGGTGGAATTTTCCAGAATGAAACTGGAAACACCTAATTAAACGTATTCAAAATTATTAAAGATACTTTTTTTAAACCAATAAAAAAGTTGTAAATCAAAATGCCATGACATTTCAGCAAAAGTTGGGATAAAAGATTTTTTCTTTCTCCCCATCACTGAACGTGCTCACTCTTTTAGCCCTGGGGCATTATATTGTGACACTCAATTCCACTATTTGTTGGTAAAAGAATAGCCCAGGATAAGGTACTATCCCTCCTCTCACAAGATTAGCTTTTCTTGTTTTGTGATGCCCTTTATATGTGAACTTTTTTCAGAAACACTTGCCACAAACCTTCATCCTTCCTCTGTTGGAATACAAAGTTCCAACACGTCTCTCATGCAAATCATCATGTGTCACCCCTTCAGCAGTAGGAAAGCATTACTATCACATGATGCATGTGACTCCCTCTACACACCATTACCGAACTATCACTTCTTGTTTGGCAGCTGTTGAGTTTAGACTTTTTTTTGTTACATTATTTAGTTACCTTGAAGTGGTTTATTTTCTTTATTTCCAACACTTCACAGTTGTGGAGCTAATATTTTAATAAAGCATTACTTCCTCATGTTTCCCACTTATGAATTCCGAATCCGGGTGCTTTGCCAGTTTCTGATGCTGTATTTTAAGCCACGGGCGTGAGTGACCCGTTGGGGAGTATATTATTGATCACTCCCCGGGAGATTGGTCAGTATATGAGGCTACTTCTGCCTCACTTCCTTCTGAGCCTTTTGGGCTGGGCCAGACTGTAGACAATTTTGATCGTTTGTTCCCCCACCCAGAGTTTGCCACGCCTTCCTGTTCACTACCTGATGATTCAGCTCATCCATCATTAGTCTTTTCAGACTTTATCTCTCAGGTATGTGATGTTTTGTCTCTTACACATGTTTCCTATGGCCCTAGACCTTCCCTCTTACATGAAACTTCCCAACCCTATTTAATCTTTCCCCCTTCCCCCGATATTAGGGTTCACGCGAACCGATTTGCCTCTCAACTGGGGGAGGGAGACTTTGGATGAGTTTGCCCTTGCTTATCATCAGGTAGACTTTCCTTTTCTCAACTAATAGTTGTTGAGGTCAGTTCTACCTATTTCGGGTGCGAAAGAGGCTCTTCACAGGAACCTTGAAAGGTTTTCTGCTGACATCCTATTCATCCTTACTTCTACATTGACTCATCTGTCATCTTTGGCTCTCATGCTTCAAATGTCATTTGTTGTTGGTACCTCTTGGGCTGTGTTGCGGTTTTGGCATGAACCCATCTCCAGGATCCTTATCTGAGGGACCTTCGCATGGCGCCATTTTTGTGGCATTATGAGTTTGACTCGGTTCCTGAGTCTTTGTAGTTGCTGGTGGCCTTGGCCCATCAACATTCTACCTTTACTCATTTGTCGCAGTTGGGGCTGATCACAGCACCGATTCCTGTCCCTCGACCTTCTCCTTCCCAACCTCTTCCTGTTCCACCCTCCTGCGGTGCCAAGGTTACACGATTTACTCGATGACGCATGATCTGCCAACAGTAGTACTAGTGACTATTGATCTGATCAGGCCCAGCTGGGACTTATCTATTGAATTTAGTTCATCTGTGGGGACCTTTCCTCGCCAATGTCTGGGTTCACAAGGTGCTCTTATAGGTATTCGTTATCCCCTGTCTCACCCTTCCTCCATAATCCAGTGTTCCCATTCCCTACCCATCTCTTCGGGATCCCTTGACATGCCAGCATCTGTCAGAGGCATTTCAGGACCTCATCAGACAACAGACTTTTGAACCAGCTCACCAGGTTCACAAGGGTTTTACTCCCACCTGTTTTTGCTTTCCAAGAAAACCATCTCAATTGATATGTTCACACTCCTCACTTTACCATGGAGACATACCTTTCTCTTCGGTGGGCATTTTCTTCAGGTCTTTGGATGACCAAAGTGGACATTTCCAATGCTTACCTACACATTCATGTGGTGGAGCATTCCCGTCCATATCTTTGGTTTGTCCACTGGGGGGTTGTGTATCAGTTTCATGCCTTACCTTTCGGCCTAGTCTCAGCACCATACATGTTTTGTCATGTGGTCCTCTCCTTTGTTCAATATATTCATGCCATGGGGTTGTGCTTCCATTTTTATTTGTACGACTGACTTCTTGCTCATTCTGAATGGGAATTGTCCTGTCACACTCGTCAGCTCTTAACCAAAGATGTGCGGGTGGGATGTTGGTCAATCTGGAGAAGTCTTTCCTTTGTCCAACCCAATACCTTATCCATTTGGGTGTTTTCTTCAACACCCATCTCATTCTGGCCCAATCTTGCCCTCTCCGGTTCCATTTTATTGAACAGGTGGTTTGGAAAGCCTTGTCTGTTCCCTCACTTATGGCTCGCGAGGTTCTATCATTTTTCGGGATGATCCTCCATGACTCCTCTCATACCCCTGGGCAGGACCCATATGTGGTTTCTTCAATGGGTCCTTCATGATCAGTGGATCCTTGCCTGGGATTCCTTGGATATTTCTATATCCCTTCCATCACCCTTTGTAGACAATCTCCATTGGTGGTTGAACAGAGCCCATATGTTGGTGGGGCTCCTGCTTCCTTCTTCGCAGCCAGATTTACATCTGTTCACAAATGCATCCCTTCAGGGCTGGTGTGCCTGGGTGGATCACCAGGATCAGGTCATTGGTCTGTGGATGAGAGTTCTCTTCTCAAACTCCTGGCTGTTCGTCGGGCTTTGGTTCTTACACTATGGATCTTCTTTTTGAGGCCCACAAGCATCACATTTGTTTGGTGGTGTGTCATGTACCAGGTGCTTTCAATTTTGTAGCCAATCATCTTTCCTGACTGGATCTAGCTTATCCCACAGAGTGGTCCCTGCATTCTGCTGTGTGCATCTGGATACTCCCCATATCGATGCCTTTGTCACCACTCTCAATCACAAATTAACTCGTTTTTGGTCCCCAGTCCCTCATCTTCCAGCCTTGGCTGTGAATTCCTTCAGCCAGGATTGGTGTTATCTGTTCATGTTTACCCACCTATCTGTTTACTTTATCAGATGGTCTCCCTCATTTATGCCACTCCATGCATGGTCCTTCTGATTGCTCCTTACTGGCCTGCTCAACCTTAATTTCCTCGGTTGCTCCACCTACAAGAGGTCCTTCCCATCCTGACCTGCTTTATCAACTCCAGTCACTGATGCTCCATCCTGTTCCGCCTGTCCTCCGTCTTCACGCCTGGCTTTTGTCAAGTCCTTGTCAAGGAATTTCAGTTTTTCTCACAGAGTAGCTTCACATTTAGCCTGTTCCGTTCACCCTTCTTCTTTGGCCATCTATCAATGCAAGTGGGGCATTTATCACTCCTGGGCATTGACATGAAGTTTCCAGGCTTCTCACCCAATGGTTGCCTGTATCTCCGAGTTTCTCACATGGCTCTTTGAGAGGGGTTCTTCGGTCTCTGCAAAAATTTTGAGGTTTTGGGTGGCATTATCCCATACATTCCATTTTTTTTTTAAATGCAGGGTCTTCGCTTCCCCTGTCCTTTCCATGTTGATCTGTTCCTCCTGGCTCTGCTAGCCACAGAGGTGTCAGTAGCTCCTGGACTGGGACACTGACATGGTCCTTCATGCCCTCACTTTACCTCCATTCAAACCTCTCTCTATGTTTTCTCTGTTTCACCTCTCTTTGAAGATGTATTTCCTCTTCCTCCTGGCTTGTGGGCATCATAGGTTGGATATTTTTGCCCTCAACATTACCAGGACCTTGTATCACTCCACCTACCTCATCCTTTATCCGGATTGTGTTTTCCTTTCCAAAACCTCTGTGCTCAATAAGGTAAGTCCTTTTTTTCCCCTATCTGCCTATCCTCTGTATCTCATCTCTACCCTCATCCTGATCAGGACAGACTCTTCTGTCCTGTCTGTGCCCTCCATTGTTCTATTGCTCACACGGCTTCCTTCCTGGGTCCTCATTCCCGCCTTTTTATCCCTTGGCAACCTTCCTCTTTGCCTGGTCAATTGGGTTCAACATTTGATCCAGTTGGCCTATTCCTCCTTATCTCCTTCCCAGTGTGATCTCTTTCACGTTTCCTCACATCAAATCCATCACCTTACCTTCTCCCTTGCCTCTTGTCTTTTTTCAGCCATTGGAAGAGATTCTACGATTGGGCATGTGGACAACTCAGCACACCTTCATCTCCCATTACCTCTCCTACATTGCTGTTTTTGCTTCCTCGAGGTATCACCTGCTGCCTGTGGCTATTCTACAGACTTTGGCATGGCTGCAACATTAATGCTTTTTTTTCTTTCAGGGGCCCCTACTTCAGCTTTACTTTGAATCCCACTCTGTGGTGAGAGGTACCTGATCAGGTATTCTGTTTTTACTCGTAATGGCTTCCACTTAGATGACTATAAC